CGGCATCCCCGTTTAGGCTGGTCACAGTGGGAAGTAATTTAGATGGTGCTTGGATACGTTTTAGTCCCATGACTAAAAGTAGTGGGACTAAAACTTGAGCCTCACCCATGCTTGGATCCAAATACTAAAGAGACTAAAATCAAGTTATTGAGCATTTATTATCCTCCAAACCCTCCAATCCAAAACTCGCATGTGTTAAAGGAAAGGCATTAAATGATGAGAGAGAGGGCTAATACATATTTTAGTAGGTTTCCTATGACTAAAAATTTTTAGCCTCAAGACTAGTCCTAGCCTCTCTTTAGTCAGGGGTGCTTGGAACTTTAGCCTCTAAAAAAGACTATTTTTAGTAGTTCCTTGGATCCAAGCACCCTCTTAAACTAGTGTCATGCATATGACACTAGCCTAAATTACCATCTTCATAATGCAAAGTAACATAATAGTAGTAACTTAGATGGCTTCATTAATTATCTTGTAGACTCATCTTGTCTTGAAAAGCGCTATTGTACAGTAACATATTATGGTACCACCTTTCATTAATTACTTGCCACATAAGCAAAAAATTCTTGAAGTGCGCTATGTTACTAGCTAAGTTACTCCCACTATGACTAGCCTTAATAATCACCCCGGCCGAATAATAATTCTGTTCTTTTAAAAAAAAAATACTGTAACAGAACAACAAGTTCGATCATACGAATTCAACGACACATGATAGAAAATTTGCATAAGGGTTCCAAACTTTCAAAATGCATTTGAAAATCCTTTGAATCAAAAAAGCTTTACCGGCTACCTGTACAACTGGTCGCGATGCAACGGTGTGTTGGAAAAAGAACTCATTTCTTTGAGTTTTATACGGAGAGCTGATATCTAGCATCATATAAATATATAATGGACATCAGTATACGTACCTGATTTCCAACAAGTACCGTCACGAGGGGGAAACGAGACCTTCAAACAACATTCATCACTACAAAACGTCATCGAACCAGCTTTGGTGTTCTACAGAAGAAACGGTGAATCCTCCTCAGTGTCACACGCTGCAAAGTTGATAGGCAAACAAAGACAATTACTGCATGTGCGTGGCTTCACAACTAAGTGATCCGTGTTTCAACCGTGAAAGCAAACTAAGTGATTCCCGGATCAACACGCTTGATAATGGATCTTATGATCACAAGGAGAGCGCTTCTCATTACTTTGCACTCAGCAATGAAGGTAACATATGGATACCATACATCATTCTATTCTTGTGAGTGTCTTTTCTTGACGGTTCGCTTTATGGTGTATGCTTTTGTTGGGAGAACCATGTAATACTTCAAAGATTTTTCTTATGTTATATTCTCAAGTACTCGTATATGAGACATGTCGTTTGTATGATATTTGTATATGTGACAATGATCTTTCTCTTTTTCCATGGTAACATTTCATGATGTTTGAAAATCGCTTCTATGTTCATAGAGCGGCAAAAAGCTAAAAATTAACTCAATATTATTTTTTTGTGCGAAAACTCAGATTTGTTTTGTCATAACATAGTTACAATCCAAGGCCATTACAAACTTTTCATCAGGTGTATCACAACTTAAACTGAAGAACAGGAACCGAAAAGAATTGGTTGCCTTCACTTGTGGAGCTAGGTAGAAAACGATTGGGGGCGGGG